AAAAAGGAGTACAGACCAATTTCCCTGATGAACATGGATGCAAAAATTGTCAACAAGATGCTAGTCAACCAGCTCCAACAATACATTAAGAGAATTATTCACCATGACCAAGTAGGCTTTACACCTGGGATGCAGGGCTGGTTCAATATGCGTAAGTCAATGTGATACATCACATCAATAAAAGAAAGGACAAGAACCACATGATCCTCTCAATAGATGCAGAGAAAGCATTTGACAAAATACAACATCCTTTCTTGATAAAAGCCCTCAAGAAAGTAGGGATAGAAGGATCATGCGTCAAGATTATAAAAAGCCATATACAAAAGTCCCACCACTAATTTCATCCTCAATGAGGAAAAACTGAGAGCTTTCCCCCTAAGGTCAGGAACACGACAGGGATGTCCACTCTCACCACTGTTACTCAACATAGTACTGGAAGTCCCAGCCTCAGCAGTCAGACAACACAAAGAAATAAAAGGCATCCAAATCAGCAAGGAGGAAGTCAGACTGACTTTCAGCCTTCGCAGGCAACATAACACTCTATATGGAAAACCCAAAAGATTCCACCAAAAAACTGCTAGAACTGATCCATGAATTCAGCAACGTCGCAGGGTATAAAATCAATGCACAGAAACCGATTGCATTTCTATACACCAATAAAGAAGCAACAGAAAGAGAAATCAAGGAATCGATCCCATTTACAATTGCACCAAGACCCATAAAATACCTAGAAATAAACCTAACTAAAGAGGTGAAAAATCTATACACTGGAAACTGTAAAAAGCTCACAAAAAATTTTGAAGAAGACACACAAAAAAGGAAAAATATTACATGCTCATGGATTGGAAGAACAAGTATTGTTGAAATGTTGATACTACCCAAAGCAATCTACATATTCAAAGCAATCCCTATCAAAATAAGACCAGCATTATTCACAGAGCTAGAACAAACAATCCTAAAATTTGTATGGAACCACAAATGACCCTGAATAGCCAAAGCAATCCTGAAAAGGAAAACCAAAGCTGGAGGCATCACAATTCCGGACTTTAAGGTGTAATACACAGCTGTAATCACCAAGACAGCATGGTACTGGCACAAAAACAGACACACAGATCAATGGAACAGAATAGAGAACCCATAAATGGACCCACAAACATATGGCTAACGAATCTTTGACAAAGCAGGGAAAACTATCCAATGGAACAAAACTAGTCTCTTTAGCAAACGGTGCTGGGAAAACCGGACAGTGACATGCAGAAGAATGAACCTAGACCACTTTCTTACACCATACACAAAAATAAATTCAAAATGGATGATAGACCTAAATATAAGACAGGAAGCCATCAAAATCCTAGAGGAGAAAACAGGCAACAACCTCTTTGTTCTCAGCCACAGCAACTTCTTACTCAACATGTCTGGAGGCAAGGGAAACAAAAGCAAAAATGAACTATTGGGACCTCATCAAGATAAAAAGCTTCTGCATGGTGAAGGAAACAATCAGCAAAACTAAAAAGGCAACCAACACAATGGGAGAAGATATGTGCAAATGATATATCAGATAAAGGGTTAGTTTCCAAAATCTATAAAGAACTTACCAAACTCAACACTCAAAAAACAAATAATCGAGTGAAGAAATGGGCAAAAGACAAGAATATATACTTTCCCAAAGAATTCATCCAGAAAACCAACAGACACACGAGAAAACGCTCAACATCACTCATCATCAGGGAAATACAAGTGAAAACCACAATGTGATATCACCTCACACCTGTCAGATTGGATAAAATTAACAACTCAGTCAACAATAGATGTTGGCGAGGATGTGGAAAAAGAGGAACCTTTTGCACTACTAGTGGGAATGCAAACTGGTGCAGCCACTCTGGGAAACAGTATGGAGGTTCCTCAAAAAATTAAAACTAGAACTACCCTTATGACACAGCAATTGAACTACTAGGTATTTATCCAAAGGATTACAGGTCTCCTGTTTCGGAGGGTCACATGCACCCCAATGTTTATAGCAGCGCTATCGACAATAGCCAAAGTATGAAAGAGCCCAAATGTCCATCAACAGATGAATAGATGAAGATGTGGTGTACACACACGTATACACACACACACACACACACACACACACACTGAAGTATTACTCGGCAATCAAAAGGAATGACATCTTGCCATTTGCAACAACATGGATGGAACTAGAGTGTATTATGCTAAGTGAAATTAGAGAAAAACAAATATCATATGACTTCACTCCTATGAGGAATTTAGGATACTAACAGATGAACATAAGGGATGGGAAGCAAAAACAATATAAAAACAGGGAGAGGGACAAAACACAAGAGACTCTTAAATACCGAGAACAACATGAGGGTTGCAGGAGGGGTCCTGGGGGGGTGGGATGGACTAAATGGGCAAGGGGCTGTAAGGAGAACGCTCACTGCAATGAACACTTTGTGTTATATGCAGGGGATGAATCACTGGATTCTGCTCCTGAAATCATTATTGCACTACATGCTAACTAACTTGGATGTAAATTTACAAAAAAGACTTGGGTGCTCAACTGACTGAGCCACCCAGGTGCCCCAAACAGTCTTTTTTAAAAAAAAATTTTTATGTTTATCTTTGAGAGAGAGAGACAGAGTGTGAGCAGGGGAGGGGCACAGAGAGAGAGAGAGAGAGAGAGAGGAGAGAAAGAGAGAGACAGACAGACAGAATCTGAAGTAGGCTCCAGGTTCTAAGCTGTCAGCACAGAGCCCAACACAGGCTCATGAACGGTGGGATCGTGACCTGAGCCAAAGTTGGATGCTTAACCAACTGAGCCACCCAGGAGCCCCCAAAATGTCTTTTTTAAAAGAGCTACAGGGGCGCCTGGGTGGCTTAGTCGGTTAAGCGTCCGACTTTCGCTTAGGTCATGATCTCGCGGTTCGTGGGTTTGAGCCCCGCGTCAGGCTCTGTGCTGACTGCCAGCTCAGAGCCTGGAGCCTGCTTCAGTCTGTGACTCCCTCTCTCTCTGACCCTCCCCTGCTCACGCTGTCTCTCTCTCTCTCTATCTCTCCTAGAAATAAATAAAACATTAAAAAATTAAAAAAAAATAAAAGAGCTACAGAGATATTTTGGATCAAAGTATTTGTAATTTACCTTGGATAATTAAGCAAAAAACCCATATTTGGAACAAGTATGTCAAAATGCTAACAAAGTTAAATATGAGTGGTAAGTATACGGTATTAATTATACTCATAATGAAAAGGATATATTCAGGCACCTGGGTGGCTCAGTCAGTTAAGCATCTGACTTTGGCTCAGGTCATGACATCATGGTTCGTGGGTTCAAGCCCTCATTGGGTTCTGTGCTGACAGCTCAGAGCCTGGAGCCTGCTTCAGATTCTGGGTCTCCCTCTCTCTCTCTCTGCTCCTCCCCTGCTCGTGCTCTGTCTCTCTCTGTCTTAAAAATAAATAAACAAGAAAAAAATTTTTTAAAAAAGGATATATTCATAATGAAATATATTCATGATGAAAAGGAGGGGGAAACCCCATGTGTTTAGGGCAGGGGGCACGCTTCCCAGTCCAGGCGCTCAGTCTAACGGAGGAGACAGAGGTAAAGAGAGAGAGAGAGTTTGGAGTGATGCAGGAAGCACAGGGTGCTCCGGGTGTACAGAGAGGTGTCAAAAGCAGGCTGGCCTGGGGAGGCTGACTGAGGAATGGTCAGAGCCGGGAGCTGCTTCAGATTCTGTGTCTCCATGTCTCTGCCCCTCCCCTGCTCACACTCTGTCTCTCAATAAAATTTTTTAAATAAAAATAAATAAATATGTATTTATTTTTGAGAGAGAGAGAGACAGCGTGAGCAGGGGAGGGGCAGAGAGAGAGGGAGACACAGAATCCGAAACAGGCTCCAGGCTCTGAGCTGTCAGCACACAGAGCCCGACGCGGGGCTTGAACCCACGAACTGCGAGATAATGACCTGAGCCGAAGTCGGATGGCCAACCGACTGAGCCACCCAGGCACCCCAATAAATACATATTTTTAAAAATCTTTTAAATCAATAAAACCAGGTTCCCCACACAAGCGCTGCAGGCCACGGCCGAAGCGAGCAAGCCACGCGGCGGACAGGGGGCCACCGCCTCGCAGGCAGCCGGCTCTGTGCCACGGAACCAAAGTGGGAGGAAGAACGCAGACTCCGAGGAGACGGAAAGCAGGTCTCAGGCCCCAGAGGGCGCCGCAAGAGTGGCAGGGCACGTGTTATTAGAGAGGGTGCCACCAGGGCCCAAACTGGACCCTGAAGGCCCCAGAGAGCCCCCGCAGGACTGTAAGTAGGGGACGCTCACACGTGCGCTAAGAAAGCTCACTCTTCCCGGCGGTGAGGAAGAAAAGTGACAGCGGGGGCCAGGAAACCCGGGTGACATCAGAGGAAAAGACGCCTTCGTGTCCTGTGTCCCCAGAGGTGGCGGCCTCTGTCAATCATCGGCCAGGAGAGGGCACAAAAAGGTGGCTTTGTGAGAGGCGCCACCCCACGGGGGTGTCTTCCATCGACAGCTCCCGGCCTCGAAAGGGGCCTTTGTGACGCGCCTTCCTGAAGGCGGCACCCAGGGGCCCGAGTGTGCGAATGACACGACAGCACTGCTCCTCGGGGGCCCGGCGCGGCCCTGTGGCCTGCCTGCCGCCACACGGCTCATGCCCAGCCTTGCCCTGGTTTGTGCGGCCACATGCGACCCGGAGTCACGCCACTCGGCTTTGAGTCCCGGCGCTGTGACCCCGGCAGTGGGACTTCCCTGCCGCTCTGGGCCCCACGTCCCCGCCTCTAGGGTGTGCCCTACAGCCAGCGTGAGGGACAAGTGGCAATCGGAACGTGGGGCACTGGGCAAGGGGCCTGGCACAGCGGCAGCGAGCGGTCACCAGCTTCCGGCCACTGTTACTGGCTTGAAGAACCTGCTTCCGAAGTGAGTTCTAAGAGGGAGAATGAGTTCGGAAGCCAGGCTGGCGGGGCGACACCGGCCTTCTTACCGCTGGAGTCTGTCTCCGAGTCAGAGTCACTGTCACTGTCAGAATACTTCTTGTGTTTTCTTTTAGATGATTTTTTCTTTCTCTTTTTCTTGGACCTTTCTTTTGAATGGCTAGATTTCCTCTTCTTCTTCTGTTCTTCTACGTAAAATACAAATATAAAGTTAACTTCAGGGCACCTGGCTGGGTCAGTCAGTGGAGCATGTGACTCTTGATCTCAGGTTGTGAGTTCGAGCCCCACATTGGCTGCAGAGATTACTTTAAAACATTTTTTAAATACAAAATTATCTCCTGGGGTATCTGGGTGGCTCAGTCAGTTAAGTGTCTGACTCCTGATTTTGATTCAGGTCCTGATCTCGATTCAGGTCCTGATCTCATGGTTCATTGAACAGAATTCCATGTTGGGCTCTGCAGACAGTGCTAAGTGTGGCGACTGCTTGGGATTCTCTCTATCCCCATTCTCTCTCTGCCCATCCCCCAACACTCTCTCTCAAAGTAAATAAATTTTTAAAAATTTAATATACAAAATTAACTTTTTAAAAATGTTATTTATTTTGAGAGAGAGAGAGAGAGAGAGAGAGAATCCCAAGCAGGCTCTACATGTCAGCGGGGAGCCTAATGTGAGGCTCAAACCCACGAACCACAAGATCATGACCTAAGCCAAAAGTAAGTGCTCAACCAACTAAGCCACCCAAGTGCCCCACAAAATTAACTCCTAAACAAGATTTCTGAGTGTCAATTTTATTGTACTTGAAATACTGAAAAAGAACAGATGACAAGCAATTTGAGTAAAGGCAAAGTCTATTTTTCAACAACTTATAACCAGTTTTATCCAACTTCTCAATAAAAAAGCTCTGTAGTATTTTAAAAATGCCTTTTGGGGGCACCTGCGTAGCTCAGTTCCTTAAGTGTCTGACCAGTTAGATCATGACCTCTCATTTGTTAAGTTGGAAACCCACATCAGCCTCTTTGCTGTCAGCATGCAGAACCTGCTTCAGATCCTCTGCCCCCCTCTCTCTGCTCTTCCCCTGCTTGCACTCTTTCCCTCTCTCTCTCAAAAATAAACAAACATAAAAAAGAGCCAAATAAAAGCCCCATGTCTCCTGCATTTGGCTCATACTAAAAAAATACATACCTTCTGAAGTAGAAGCTGACGTGGTGCTTTTCTTCAGCTCATCATCTCTACTGGTGTGTGTTCATCAGAGCTGAACTGAAAGAAGATGGTTATAAGAATCAGAAAAGTGATGAAATATAAACCATGGGGTATTAAAAATATGGAATTAAAAATGTTCAGTAATGACACTGATTGTCCAAGAACCATTAAAAGCAGTGAGGGGAGGGCTGGGTAGTGCAGTCGGTTAGGCATCTGACTCTTCATCTCGGCTCAGGTCATGATCTCACAGTTTAGGAGTTCGAGCCCCTCATCAGGCTCTGTGCCAATGGCATAGAGCCTGCTTGGGATTCTGTCTCTCCTCCTCTCTGCCCCTCCCCCGCTTGTATGAGTGCACGCGCTCTCTCTCTCTCAAAATAAACAAACTTAAAAAAATTTAAAAAAAAATTTTTTAAAAAGCAAACACTAAAAAAACTTTGTTCGAGGGTCTACCACCTTCATAATAATGTAATAATCACTTAGGTTTGCATAAAGCCTTGGAGTTTACAAAATGCTATTCAAACTCAAAGCAACATGTAAGATGTATACTTTCAATGCTGCCTACAAGGTACTCACTTCAGACCTAAAGGCATCCTCACTGAAGGTGAAGGGATGGAAAAACCTGTATCATGAAAATGCAAGTGAAAAGAAAAGCTGGGATAGCAATAATTATACCAGACAAAATAGACTTTATTGTTTTATTTTTATTTTTCTTATTTTTAGTGCTCCATATGCCCAACATGGGGCTTGAACTCATCACTCCGAGATCAGAGTCGCATGGTCTATGGACTGAGCCAGCCAGGGCCTCTGTTAGTTATTGTTTTAAAGTGTAGTTTTTTAAAAGTGCCTCTCCCCAGCTCACTCACTCTCTATCAAAATAAATAAACTTTGAAAAAGTCTATTTTGTCTGGGGCACCTAGCTGGCTCAGTCAGTAGAGTGTGCAACTCTTGATCTTAGGGTTGTGAGTTTGAGTACCACATTGGGAATAGAGATTACTTTAAAAAAAAAAAAGACTAACAAGGCACAAAGAAGGACACTACATAATGATTAATGTAATAATCCAGCAAGAGGATATTACAATTGTAAATATTTACAGACTCAACATGAAGCACCTAATAGTGAATGCTATACTACCCGAGTCAACTATTAACAGACACAAAGGAAGTAATTGACAATAATACAGTAATAGTAGGGAGCTTTTACACCCCACTTACATCAACAGATCATCCAGACAGAAAATCAACAAGGAAACAGTTGCTTTGACAGGCAGATATACCTACCAGGTGGACGCAACAGATATATTCAGAACATTCCATCCCCAAACAGAATATGTATTCTTTTCAAGGCCACACAGAACATTCTTTAGACTAGAGCATGTGTTAGACCACAACACAAGTCTCAATAAAATCAGAAAGACTGAAATCATATCATGCACCTTTTCTAACCACATTATAAAAATAAAAATCAATCACAAGAAAAAATCTGGAAAGAACACAAATACGTGGAGGCTAAACACCAAACTATTAAACAATGAATGGGTCAACCATGAAACCAAAAAGGAGATAAAAAAGTACACGGACACAATGAAAATGAAACCACGATGGCCCCAAATCTTTGGGATGTAGCAAAGGCTGTTCTAAGATGGAAGATTACTGTAGTGATACAGGCCTACCTTAAGATGCAAGAAAAATCTTAAATAAACAACCAAACTTTACACCTAAAGGAACTAGAGAAAGAATAACAAATGAAGCATAAAGCCAGCAGAAGGAAGGACATAATGAAGATCAGAGTAGAAATAAATGTTACAGAAACTAAAAAAAAAAAAAAAAAAAAAAAAAAAAAAAAAAAAAAAAAAAAAAAAAAAAAAAAAAAAAAAAAAACCCACAAAACAAAACAAAAACCAATAGGACAGGTCAATGAAACCAGGAGCTAGTTCTCTGGAAAAGTCAATAGAACTTCTAAACCCTTAGCCAGGCTGATTGAGAAAGAGAGAGAGAGAAGTCAAAATCAGAAATGAAGGAGAAATAACCAGTATCACAGAAATACAAAGGATTATAACAATATCATGAAAAATTTTATGCCAACAAATTGAACAGCCTAGAAGAAATGGATAAATTCCTAGAAACATAACCTTCCAAAACTGAATCCGGAGTAGAAAATCTGAACAGACTGGGGCGCCTGGGTGGTGCAGTCAGTTAAGCGTCCAACTCTTGATTTCAGGTCAGGTCATGATCTCATGGTTTGTGGAACTGAGCCCCATGTTGGGCTCCACACTAGCCTGTTTGGGATTCTCTGTCTTCCTCTCTCTGCCCCTCCCCTGCTCGCATACTCAACGCTCTCTCTCAAATAAACAAACGTTTAAAACAAGAAAATCTGAACACACTGATCACTAGTAACGAAATTGAATCAATAATCAAAAACTCCTAATAAACAAAGTCCAGGACCAGATGGCTTCTGAGGTGAATTCTACCAAATATTTAAAGAAGAGTTAATACCTCTTCTCAAACTATTCCAAAAAACAGAAAAGGAAGGAAAGCTTCCAAATTCATTCTGAGGCCAGCATTACCCTGATACCAAAATCGGATAAAGACACTACAAAAAAAGAAAACTACATCGGTGCCGGCGTGGCTCAGTTGGTTGTGTATCTAATTCCAGACTTCAGCTCAGATCGTGATCCCAGGGTCCTGGGATCGAGCATTGCGTCAGGCTCCACACTCAGCATGGAACCTGCTTGAGATTCTCTCTTTCTCCCTCTGTCCCTCTCCCATGCTCAGGTGCTCAGAAAGGAAGGAAGGAAGGAAAGAAGGAAATGACAGGCCAATATCTCTCATGAACTCAGGTGCAAAAATCCTCAACAAAATATAAGCAAACTAAATCTAACAATACATTAAAAAAGTCATGCACCATGATCAAGTGGGATTTATTTCGGGGATGCAAAGGTGTTTCAAAATTTGCAAACCGATGAATATGATACATCACATTAATAAGAGAAAGGAATAAAACAATATGATCATTTTAATAGATGCATAAAAAGCACTGGACAAAGTACAGCATGATAAAAGCCCTCAACAAATAGGTTTAGAGGGAACATACCTCAACATAAAGGCCTTATGTGGAAAACCCACAGCTAACATCATACTCAATTGTGGAAGACTGAGAGCTTTTACCCTAAGCTAAGGAATAAGACAAGGATGTCCACTCTCATCACTTTGATTCAATACAGTTCTGGAAATCCTAGCCTCGGCAATTAGACAACAAAAAGAAATAAAGGCATCCAAACTGGTAAGGAAGAAGTAAAACTTTCACTATTTGCAGCTGACATGATAGTATGTACAGAAAATCCTCAAGACTCCACCAAAACACTACTAGAACTGATAAATGAATTCAGTAATGCTGCCAGATGCAAAATTAATTTACAGGGCCACCCGGGTAGCTCAGTCGGTTAAGCGTCCGACTCTTGGTTTCAGCTCATGTCATGAGCTCACAGTTTGTGAGTTCGAGCCCCTCATCAGGCTCGGCACAGAGCCTGCTTGGAATTCTCTCTCCTTCTCTCTCTGTCTCTCCCTGGCTGGTGTTCTCTTGTGTTCTTTCTCTCTCTCTGTCTCTCTTTCTTAAAACAAATAAACTTAAAATTTTATATACAGAAATGTGTTACATGTCTATACATTTAAGCAGGAGAAAGAGAAATTAAGAAAATAAGAATAAAATACCTAACAATAAACTTTGCTTAAATTTTTTAAAATAGTTTATTGTTAAGTTGGTTTCCATATAACACCCAGTGCTCATCCCCACAAGTGCCCTCCTTCATGCCCATCACCCTCTTTCCCTTCCCCCCCACCCCCAACAACCCTCAGTTTGTTCTCAGCATTCAAGAGTCTCTCATGGTTTGCCTCCCTCCATCTCCCCCACTATTTTCCCCCTTCTTCTCCCCCACGGTCCTCCGTTAAGTTCTTCCTAATCCTCCTAACCAAGGAGGTGAAAGACCTATACACTGAAAACTACAAAACACTGATAAAAGAAATTAAAGAAGACACGAATAAATGGGAAGATATTTCATGCTCGTGGATTAGAAAAGTGTTAAAATCTCCACAGTACCCAAAGCCATCTAGAGATGTAAGGCAACTCCAAACAAAGCATCAACAGTATTTTTCACAAAACTAGAACAAATAATCCTAAAATTTGTAGGGTACCACAAAAAATCCCCAATAGCCAAAGCAACCTTAAAAAAGAACAAACCTGAAGGCATCAAAATCCCATATTTCAAAATATACTAAAAGGATATAGTAATCAAAACTGTGTATGGTACTGGCACAAAAACAGACACATGGATCAATAGAAGAGAATAGAGAGTCCAAAAATAAACCTACACTTCGATGGTCAATTAGCCTATGACAAAGTGGTCAAAAATATACAATGGGGAATGACATCCTTGGGAAAACTGGAGAGCTACGTGCAAAACAACGAAACTGGACCACTGTCTTACACCACACACAAAAGTAAACTCAAAATGGATTAAGGACCTAAATGTGAGACGTTTCTGAAACCATAAAAATCTTAGCAGAGAACACAGGTAGGGACCTCTTTGACATCAGCAAATGCTCTATCTGATAAGGGGTTAAAATCCAAAATTTATAGAGGGACCTGGGTGGCTCAGTCAGTTATGACTCTTGATTTTGGCTCAGGACATGATCTCCCAGTTCGTGGGACTGGGCCCCACATCAGGCTCTGTGCTGACAGCATGGAGCCTGCTTGGGATTCTCTCTCTCTCTTTCTCTCTGCCCCTCCTCTGCTCACACTGTGTCTGTCTATCTAAAACATAAATAAACTTAAAACAATTTTTTTAAATAAAATAAAATCTTGGGGCGCCTGGGTGGCTCAGTCAAGTAAGTGTCCAACTCTTGATTTAGGCTCAGGTCATGATCTCACGGTTCAGTAGTTTGAGCCACATGTCGGGCTCCACACTGTCAGTGCAAAGCCTGCTTGGGATTCTCTCTCTTTCCCTCCCTCTCTCTCTGCCCCTTCCCTGCTCATGTGCTCTCTCTCTCTCTCTCAAAATGAA